TGGTCTCAAACTCCTGAGCTCAGGCAATCCACCTGCCTTGGCCTCCCAGAGTGCTAGCATTGCAGGCATGAGCCATTGCGCCTAGCCAGCTACATCAGAGTTTTAAAAAACATTTTTTAAATCCACCTCTCAGATTAATTTTAGTATGATCATGTGACTTCTGGACAAATTTTTCCCATACTCAGTGTTTGAAGGGCAAAAGCAATTTTGTCAACAAAAATATAGGAAAATTAAATTTTAATTGATCATGAACCCCTTTGTATTTTTAACCTTTGCAGCTCTCATAAGTCCCTTGTATTATCTCAGAGTCAGTGAAATCATTTGACTGCTAGAGCAGGTATTGAATGAGAAGTAGCTTTCAGAGGGAATAAGGTTGAAAGGAAGAATAGGAAAGAAGGAGGGACCCAAATTTGTGATTTACCCACTCTCATCCAAGAAGAGAAAGCTGGGAATCATTCTTGGGATCCACATCCCACACCAACACATCACTATGTTATGTCAGTTTTACCTTAAAATATCTTTCAAATGCATCCACTCTCTGTGCTCACTGTACACTGTATCTCTTGCCTAGACTCCTTCTGGGGCCTGGCTGATACTTCTACCCTCTTCCCCCACCTCTTTCTCCATTGGAAGTGGTGATTTACTTGGGCTCACCATTATTCCCTTAGCCTAGCATCCAGTAGAGTGCCTTGGTAAACGAATGGATTTACATTATTTATTAATGCTTAAAATCCTTCTGCAGTTTCCCACTGCACTTCGATTAAAATCCACAATCCAGCTTCCTCATGCACCCCTCTTCTCAATTCTCACTTCCAGCCACTCTGGCTTCCTTGCTATTCCCCAAACACTCCCAGGTCTTTCCTGCCTAAGGGCTTTGGCATAGGTGCTTTTCAATCTTGAAAATTGTTCCCACTCTGACTCATGACTACACACCTGTCAGAATTCAGGGAAGCCCTAATCTCAGTCAAGCCGCCCTGTCATATCCTCTCATTGTGCTCACTACACCTCTGGCTCAGATGTAATAATTTTTTGTCTAGAGCTGTGTGTCTCTGGCCATTCCATAGTCACAGCTCTTGGCCTAGGACTATGCTTTGTGTTTTGCAGTCATTGACCTGCAGGTGCAAGACCATATTAAAGGGTGGCTTAAACATGTCACTCTGCAATGGTTGGCACCTAGTTTCTGGCTGCAGGCCCTGGAAATGAGAGATCCGGAGATGAGGTAAGGGTAGCACTAAAGACAGAACATGGTGTGGGTCAGAGGAAAAGGGATCCTAGTTGTCTTGGTGGCTCAGGTTTTTAATGCTTGGCCACTGCTGTGATGACTATTTGCAGAAACAGAGTGGAATTCTTTTAAAACCAACATTTCACGCAATAGCCACTTAGTTGACTCAAGAAGAGTTAGCCAAGATAAATGGGCTGGCCATTTTGTTTTCTGCCCCAATGTGATGTGAAGGAATATGCCAGTTTTATTGTTTTGTATACGTATATAAATGTGAATCATAGCTCAAGAATCTAATGAAGGAAAGAAATACTTATACACTTGAGGCCAGCAACATCAAATAACAGGATTTTAGAATTAAAATGGGCTGAGGAGGTTGAGTAACTAAATTGCCTCCATAGTGGCTGGTGACTTGAAAGTTTCTACCAGGCTAGTGTAAAGCAAATCTGAAATCTGCCAGGTTTCTGGATTCCAGAGCAATGTATTCCTCACACTTTATGCTTTGCTGTTAAGTCTAATTAGCATAAATTGAAACTCCAAGTCAGCAGTTTTCTTAGCACTGATGAACTCATTTTTGTTTTGTGGTCATTCTTGAAGAGATTTTACGATTTGCCATTCAGAGAGCCAAATAACCCTTCTGGCTGTAACTAAAGTTATGACTCAAGCCAGACCCCGTGGGACCTTTGCAAATGTGGATCGGAGCAGCTAGTTGTTTGCCATCTGCTAATGAAAGGGAAATAAGATGATTCTAAGAGCCTGGTAACCCAGTTGTAGTGGACTTTAGAATGTTTTTGCACTATTTAAATATGGGTGTGTCTCCTATACGAAATTAATTTTAAGCCAAATGACGTGTCTAACTCATGAGCTAGGATGTGCCTGGCTGGGAGGCTGCCCTAGTTTCCTGATCACGACCTCAGAATTCCCTGGCCTCTCCTGGCAAAGAGCAGGCCCTTCCCCTCGCTTTCCTCCCGCTGCCTGCTTCTCAGCTCCAGCTAGGAGCACCAGTGTTACTGAGTCTAGAGGGTTTCTAGAAGAATGCAAAGTGAGAATGAAGAGAAAGGAAGAGCCCCAAATCCCCCAGCTCTTTATGGTCCTTGGATCTCCAGGACAGCAACCCTCTCATTTATTCCTTGGTTTGTGTAACAGTGTCACTTCCTCTAAATAAGAAACAGCTTCTTATAATGCTAATCATTCATTTGTCACGTTGGATCAACACTGGTGTGGTGGAGCCCAGATAGACTTGAGTCAGGATACCAGCTCTGCCACTGCTGTGTGCAGGTCCCCAACCTTTGTAACTGTTTCCTTTTCGGTAAAGTGGGGACTGTTGTGAACGCTGAGATTACGGTAATAGTAGTATGACGCTCAATAAATTAGAGTTTTTTATTAACTACCTGAATGACCTTGGACGAGTACCTTTAAATCTGAGGACGTTGATCCAAGGTCTACTGAAGCCCTTTTCAGCAATGACAGTTCCGTGGGTCCTCACGATAAAGCATTCTGAACACACGGACCTACGAGTCTTCCCACACACCCCTCCCAATTCTCCTCTTCTTGGTAGTGGTCTAAACACCCCTTCCCAGTGCCCTCTCACTTCTCATACCCATTTGGAAGTTGCAGATTGCCAAACTCCAAGGACTTTAATCCGTGTCCTTTGCCCTCAGCCAGGGTCTAAAGGCAGACCTGCTGCAGAGGGTACGACCCGGCGCTTGGATCCATCCTTGAGCACCCGGGCCGTGGATCTCCAGTTAAGAGAGCGCAGACGTTCTGGCGCCACCGTCGCACCCACCAGCTTCTCCAAACTTCCTACCGAGCCCGAGCGCCCTCTCGGCCCGGCGCTAGGAAGCTGCTGGAGGAGCTGGTACTGGGCCCGGGAGGGTGGTCCTCGCCTGGCCCGCAGAGGAAGCTCGAAGCCGCAGGTGAGCGCGGCGACAGCCAGCGCCCCTGACTCTCCGGCTTCCTGGTCCTCTCCAAACGCGACCCGCTCGGAGGCCCCAAAGCGGAACGGGTGTCTGCAGTGCCACGCCCTCGAGCGCCACCCTGCAGGCGTGGGCGGCCCCGGCCGGTGCTGAGCCCCGGGAGATCGCAGCGTAATAAGATGCTAATGAGGTCCGAGTAAATCCTCAGCTGCGCTCCGCGCCTCGCGCCTAAGCCCACAGCCGCAGCACACCCGAGCCGGGCGCACGCGGTGGGCGGCCCCGCATCCCAGGCTCGCTCTCGCGCTCCCTCCGCTTGCCCTGCCCCCGCCCGCCCTCCGCCCCGGCTGGTGGCCCGCCCGGCAGGAAGCGGTGCCTCCCGGCCCCGAAGCCGCCCGGTAAGTCGTGCAGCTGAGCCAGCTGTGCGTCCCGCTGCGGACCTGGGCTGGGGAAGGGTGGAGGCGCGGGCGAGCCGGAGCTTCCTGGAAGTGCGGCCCCGGACGCCTGGGAACCACGCCTGGCGGGTCCGGCCCGGCTGCCCCACGCTCCGCCCTGCTCAGCCCCTGTGCAGACTTTTCCGTCCTGAGTATTGGGTCGCCCGCACCCCGCCACCTGTGATCCAGCACCGTCTCCATCCTTTCGGCCCGGTGCCTCGCACCTCCTTTGTCCCGGCGTTTCCAGGCTGGGTTGCCCCCTTCCTCTCCATTCTCCTAGGTGCTCCACCCCACCCCCATGCCCGAGAGGGACCTCTGCCCTTCCTTAAGTTCGTTCCGCCCTCATCTAGGTGACCCGCAAAGGACGGCTTTAGTCTGTTGCCTCGGTGCGGCAGGCTGGGAGCGGAGGGCAGCTGGGGAGCGGGAGTTTAGGGGAAGGGGGGGCCCCAGGGCCCCGCCCCTACTGTTGCCACCCACCCTCCCTGACTCTTCATGGGCAACCGCATCCTCCATACTTTCTGAACCTTTCCTGTCCCTGCATGAAAGCCCCTTTGACACCCCTCAAGTTGCGTGGGGGTCCGAGCGAGGAAGGGGGAACAAAGAAGAGCCTTATGTGTGTAGATTGCTGGGAGCGGACCGCGGACAGCGGGCGGGGTGGGGTGGGGTGGGCTGTCGACTGGGGTGGGAGGGACCTAGGAGGGGCGAACCGGCTGGCTGCTGTGGCCCTCCATTCCTCAGGCCCCCTGAAGCAGGGCAAGTTCCCAGGGGAAGTGTTTTGACCACAGGGAGTCAGAAATAGACCCAGGCCTTTATTACCCAGTCAGCTGCAACATCCTCTGGCTGCTTGCTGCGGTAGTTTGGTGGTGGGAAGTGGAACCTTCGTAGGCAGAGGCTGTCTTCTCTCATAAGGAGACAAGCACGAGTGCTCAGGAGGAAATCTTTGTCCTTGGCACCAGACACCTCCCACATCCAGCGTAGCACTGAATCCATGGAGGTGGAAAGGCATGCAGCCCAGGGAGGTGTGGGGTGACATAGGGCAGAATGTGTGCCCGGCAGCAGTTGCAGTTTATTATCTGTTCCTCTGTACACACAAGGAAGCCTTCCTCCTGGGCACCGTGCCCTCTCCACGTCTGAGAAATTCTACTTCCAGGATCTGGAGAAGGCAGAAGAAACCCGGCCTCAGGGCTTGGAAATCCCTAGGCAGGGAGGCTGGGCTGTAGGCTCCCATGGCTCCGTATGCCTGGTGAATCCGGCACTGTTGATTTTTCTTTTCCAAATTTGGTGAATTTCACTTTGGGTGGACGGGATAGCAGCTCTCTGGAGCAGAGCTGGCCCAAGCTCCTGGGGACACAACCTGCTCTCTTTTCTTCCCCTTCCTTTCCCATTCCTCCTTTCTCCAGCCCCTCCCCTTCTCTTCCCTTCTTTCCAGCAGCCACTGTCTCTGCCTGGCCACTCCCCTCACCAGAGGCCCAGGAGGCCTCCATGGCTTCACCCACCTCCACCAACCCAGCACATGCCCACTTTGAGAGCTTCCTACAGGCCCAGCTGTGCCAGGATGTGCTGAGCAGCTTCCAGGGGCTATGTGGGGCCCTAGGGCTGGAGCCTGGTGGGGGTCTGCCCCAGTACCACAAGATCAAAGCCCAGCTCAACTACTGGAATGCCAAGTCGTTGTGGGCCAAGCTGGACAAGCGAGCCGGGCAGCCTGTCTACCAGCAGGGCAAGGCCTGCACGAGCACCAAGGTAGATATACCAGTGCCTGGGATGAGGCATGGGGAATGGGGGAGACAGAGGAGGAGACAGGACACCATATCCCCACTGCCCTGTGTGTTCACAGTGCCTGGTGGTGGGTGCTGGACCTTGCGGGCTGCGGGCTGCTGTGGAGCTGGCCCTGCTGGGGGCTCGTGTGGTCCTGGTGGAAAAGCGCACCAAGTTCTCCCGTCACAATGTGCTCCACCTCTGGCCCTTCACCATCCATGACCTGCGGGCTCTTGGCGCCAAGAAGTTCTATGGACGCTTTTGCACTGGCACCCTGGACCACATCAGTGAGCACCATGTGGTGACCTGGAGGGGTGGGTGAGCCTGGGCCTGGATGCAGGCTAGTGGGGGGGGAAATCAGAGTAGGCAAGATTCACATCAGCCAGGAGACCTGGAAGACTCAGGTCCCTCATCTGTAAAGCCGGCACTTGGCCTGAGTGATCTCCCAGACCTTCTCCAGCCCTGACCAGGCACACACTGGTGCTTGGGGGCTGTGCAGCCCTGGGGTCCTTGTTCTTAATGTCCTCTTTCTTCTAGGCATCCGGCAGCTCCAGCTGCTTCTGCTGAAGGTAGCTTTACTGCTGGGGGTGGAAATTCACTGGGGTGTCACTTTCACTGGCCTCCAGCCCCCTCCCAGAAAGGGTAAGTACTTCTGTGCTCCTAGGAACTCCCACCCACCAAGGAGCTCTAGGCCAGTGTCTAAAAAAGGGTGGGGCTCGGAGTCAGCTGATTCTCCTTTACTAATGGTGTGGCCTTGGGCAAACCACTCTGAGTCTCAGGTTGAGCATTCGCAGGAGAGTAACATTTCCTCCTTACCTGCCTTCCATGGTATAAAGGTGTAATCTGTTAGTGTATCATCTATTTTAATTACGGTAGAACGTCCGTAGTTGACCACCTTCCTACATTGACTACCTCCTTAAGTTGACCTAATTTTCATAGACCAGACTACGTGTGCTCATCAGTACAGTAGTCTTGTGCCTTATGTTGACCACTTCTGTACATTGCCCAGTTTGTTACAGTCCCTTGGGTTGTCAATGTACAGAGATTCTACAGTATTTCACTGGCTTGTCCTGGGAGTGTAGGGGCCCCTCTGACTTCTACACCTTTGTTGCCTCTCGTGCCCCTTGCCTTAGGGAGTGGCTGGTGTGCCCAGCTCCAGCCCAACCCCCCTGTTCAGCTGGCCAACTATGAATTTGATGTCCTCATTTCTGCTGCAGGAGGGAAATTCGTTCCTGAAGGTGAATGATCCTTTCTCTCAAAAAAGTCAGCATGTTTGGTTCCCCCTGGGCCTTTCTAGGCTGTTATCCCCTTCTTCTCCTGCCACTACCCATCTACTCCCACCTCTAGGCTTCAAAGTCCGCGAAATGCGAGGCAAACTGGCTATTGGCATCACAGCCAACTTTGTGAACAGGCGCACCGTGGAGGAGACTCAGGTTCCCGAGATCAGCGGTGTGGCCAAGATCTACAACCAGAGCTTCTTCCAGAGCCTGCTCAAAGCCACAGGTCAGAGCCTCCTCTTGCTGGGTCCCCCCGCCCTGACTGTGGGCTGCTGCCACCTCTCCCTTCCAGACCCGCCCTCAGGAATCCACAAGGAATCTCAACTTTTCCATCTTTGTGATCTCAGCAGCAAAGGGGAAGGAACCTTTCCCCGAGGGATTAAACAGGCCCAGCCTCACTTGGCCACCAAGCATGAGATTTATGAGAAATCTCTCATAAAACGCATGAGAATTTTGCTTTGTGCTCCTTTATGATTTGCTATAAAAAAAAATGATGTAAAGTGAAAACAAAGTGGCACCTCCAGATGATGCCCGAAGTTTACTTTGGCTTCACACTGCTATGTGACCATGTGGTGCATGTCTCCCAGCTGCCATCCCACCCAGCTTTCCCTCTTTGTTCCAAACTCTCAGGCCTCCTGAGTCTCATACAAATGGTCCTTTGTGCCACCAGGACCTGCAGGGTTCTATGTGTGCAGTGCTCACTGCAGTCTAAGCTGGGATTCCAGCTCTAACATGTCAGGCCATGGCTGGGTGTTTGCACAGCAGATACATAATCTCCAGAAGGCATATCTCCTGTCCCTTGCCTTGTTCCTCCAGGCATTGATCTGGAGAACATAGTGTACTACAAAGATGACACGCACTACTTTGTGATGACAGCCAAGAAGCAATGCCTGCTGCGCCTGGGAGTGCTGCGTCAGGTGGGGCCTGGTGGGCACAGGGAGGTGGAGGCCAGACTTGGACACAGTTGACCTCAGTGTGGAGGGTCCCCATCCTCTCCTGCCTCTGCCCTGCATTAACTCTTCCCTGCAGGGATTTTCTGCAAGCTCTTCTCTGTGGGGATTTTCATGGCAACATTCTGGGCTAAACACCTTATATCAGTCACTATACATGTACTACAAATACAGGCCCTATGAGGGCAGAGGTTTTTATCTCTTTTTCTTTTGCTTGCTGCTAATTCCTGGTGCCTAGAACACCCCAAGACATATTTGCTGAGTGAATAAACTCAGTGAGTGCCTACTATGTGCTAGGTACTGTGTTGAGAGATAACTTTGCCTTTTCTCATCTAATTCTTATGAGTACATTGGTAAGTTAAGTGTGTTGTCTCTAAACGATGGATAAACTGAAGCTCTGACAAGTTCAGTAGCAAGTATATAACAGTAATGACATCAGGCTTCGTGGGCAGAGCAGAACCTGGGACTCCTGCCGCAGGGGTGGGGTGCTGAAGAATGAGCTTTACGAATTCTAGGCCATTAGAATTCTAGTCCCAGCTCAGCCTTCAGCTGCTATGTAGGCCGGGACAGTCCCCTCCCTCTCTGGGCCTCAGTATGTACACCTTCCACACCCCAGGGCATGGGACTGGCCCCTCGGCCCTGCTCTCAGACGTCTCAGAGATTCTGATATGTTGGCTATGTAGGACTGGCCGGAGACCGATCGACTGCTGGGCAGTGCCAATGTAGTGCCTGAGGCTCTACAGCGCTTTGCCCGGGCAGCTGCTGACTTCGCCACACATGGCAAGCTTGGAAAACTAGAGTTCGCTCATGGTTCCCGTGGGCAGCCTGATGTCTCTGCCTTTGACTTCACAAGCATGATGCGGGCAGAAAGTTCTGCTAGAGTGCAAGAGAAGCATGGTGCCCGCCTGCTGCTGGGACTGGTTGGGGACTGCCTGGTGGAGGTGAGGTATTCACAAGGCACAAGGGTTTCATGGCTGGGGGAGGAAGCTACCTATAGGAAGTAAGGAATAAAAAAGGGCTGCTTGTTGAAGGGAGGAGCTAAGGGCTGCAGGGTGGAGGTGAGAGGCTGCCTGGTGTGGAGATGGGCCCCCATGCTGGGACCATGGAGGGGATCTGGGCTTGAGATGTTCCCACTGGCTTTTCACTAAGCGGTTTTCTATTCCTCTGACTCTGCAGCCCTTTTGGCCCCTGGGCACTGGAGTGGCCCGGGGCTTCTTGGCAGCCTTTGATGCAGCCTGGATGGTGAAACGGTGGGCAGAGGGCACTGGGCCCCTAGAGGTGCTGGCTGAGCGGTGAGGCTGAGTTGGAAGTACGGGCAGGGTGGGATATGGGACAAGGAAGAGGGTATGCTGGGTCAATAGATGTGGGCATGGGCAAGAAAGAATAAAAGAAAGGGCTGGCAGTCCCTTAGGGGTGGGTGCTGACAGGTAACCTCTGACTCACGGCCATGGCTCCTACCCCCACTCCCTCAGTGAGAGCCTGTACCAGCTTCTGTCACAGACATCCCCAGAAAACATGCATCGTAACGTGGCCCAGTATGGGCTGGACCCAGCCACCCGCTACCCCAACCTGAACCTCCAGGCTGTGACCCCCAATCAGGTCAGACCCCTGGCACCCTAACAGGTTTCCCAAGTCAGCACCCTACTCCGAAGTTAGGCCTTCCCTGCCTAGTCACTGCCCCTTGGCAGACCCTCCCCAATGGGACTGAGGGGCAGAGGGGTTGGCCTGCCTGGAGACCTGAGAGGGACTGCCTTAGGTACGAGACCTATACGACGTGCTGGCCAACGAGCCTGTGCAGATGAGTGACAAGACAGACGCAGGGAAACCAGCCGCTGGTGAGCAAGCTTTCCTTGAGGGGGTTGGCCAAAACATTTACTAACAGTAGGGCCCAGACAGTACCCATCACAGTAGCTGCGGCCTCAGGAGGGGAGTAGCATGCTGGAGCCCTCGCTGTTGCACATGGGGTGGTCTGGACCTCCTGGAGGGTGTGGGGGCAGCGGGCCACTCAGCAGCAGCTGTTTGCCAGTCTGAGAGGACACCATTTGTATCTTAACAACTGCTTGGGGGCAGCCGCAGTGCTTCCACCCCCTTCTAGCCTTGCAGTCCCCGCAGCTGCCTTTCATGACTGGCTGCCCTATGTGCAACTAGGAGTGATTTCACTTTATTCATTCCTCCATGTTATTCCAAAAAGGGATTTTTTAAAAATGAGAGCACTGGGATGAAGAAAGTGCTGCAGACAGTGAGCTTTGGGCTGGTGCCCTGAGTTGTCCCCGCCAGAACCTCACACCCAGCCACTGGGCTCTCTGTGAGCCATGGTGGGGCAGGGAGGCCTTGAACACAGCACAACCTTCTCTCCCAGCATCAGCAGGTACCCAGGAGGAGCTCCTCCGCTGGTGCCAGGAGCAGACAGCTGGTTACCCAGGAGTCCACGTCACCAACCTGTCTTCCTCGTGGACAAACGGGCTAGCTCTGTGTGCCCTGGTGCACCGGCTGCGGCCCAGCCTGCTGTGAGTTTAAGATCAGCACAGGGACACTGGCAGACCATTCCTTCCTTTCCCCCTCCCTCTATGTCACGGTGGGGAGATTGCTGTGCAGGAGTTAGCACATCCAGTTGAGTCCTAGCTCCACCACTCCTGCCCGTCACCTCCCCTCCCTAGAAACGGTATTCCTGCCTGGCTCTGCCCCGAGTCTCTTGAAAATGCATTCTGATGGGGAAGAGCTTAGTGAATGTAGAGGGTCCTGAGACAAGAAACAGTTGTCCTTGGGTTGGTGGGGGTAGCAGAAACAACAAAACTTCATGCCCCCTCCTCCCTATGGGACCCCAGCCCCTGCTTGCTGTCATTCCCCACCCATTGTCCCCACCCCTTCGCCCCTCAGTGGGCCAGGTTCTTGTCTTCCATTGGCTTCTCTTTCTGACTCCCCCCAGGGAACCCTCAGAGCTGCAAGGGATGGGGGCTCTGGAAGCCACTGCCTGGGCACTAAAGGTAGCTGAGCATGAGCTGGGCATCACGCCGGTCGTGTCTGCACAGGCAGTCGTAGCAGGGAGTGACCCACTGGGCCTTATCGCCTATCTCAGCCAATTCCATAGTACCTTCAAGAGTACACTTCACAGCTCAGGTGACCTGGAGGGTGGGCAGGTGGGACAGGGGTGGGGAAGGGATTGTGTGTGCATGTGAGAGAAGGTGTCCTCTGAAGGCCAGCCTAGAAGAGGTATCTATTTGGGGGGTGCAGTATGGCCTCCCCATCTACCCTGGCTCTCCTTGCAGGCCCTGTTGGCCAAGCCTCTCCAGGGACCTCTAGTGCTGTATTATTCCTTGGAAAACTTCAGAGGACCTTGCAACGGACCCGGGCCAAGGTAGAGAGTCTGGGCAGGGTTGAGGCTGGGGAGGGGGTACCCAGTAGAGGTCCCTGGGATGATGGTGAGGACATCCAGAAAAGGAGTAAGGGGAGGATTGGGGACTTAAAGACTCATGCTCAGAGCTATAGGACTTGTTGCAGGAAAACGGGGAAGATATTGCTGGCAAGAAGCCTCGCTTGGAGGTACATGCAGGCAGGGGATGGACAGTCCCCTCTTCCCATTTTCTTCCCCTTCCCCAGGTACTGTTTCCTGTGTCCTGCCTCCCATGTCCTGCTCCCCACCCCAGGTCCTGTAAACCCCTATCTGCCTCCCTGCCCAGGCTCACTTTTCAATGTTTAGCCCTTTTTATTCATCTGCACACGTCCACTTGGGATCCTGCCCCTCTATCCTCCCAGCCTGAGCACTTACCTTCTTAGGTAGAGGCTGAGACCCCAAGTACTGAGGAGTCATCTGTCCCTGAGCCTGGTGTACCTCTGACACCCCCGTCTCAGCACCAGGAGGTGAGAGCCAGGATTCTATCTGCAGGCAGAGGCCTGCGGAGGGCAGGGAAGGGTTGTTTTAGGGGAAAGGAGAAATTTGCAGGTGGCTTTGGCTGTACTGACCCTGTGTCCCACTGGTCCATGTAGCCTGGTGCCAGGAACCTGTGTGCACTTTGTGGGGAAGACCTCTATGTCCTGGAACGCCTCTATGCTGACGGCCATTTCTTCCACCGGAGCTGCTTCCGCTGCCATACCTGTGAGGCCACGCTGTGGCCAGGTGGCTACGGGCGACTTCCAGGAGATAGTGAGTGGGCCTGGAAGAGACCTTTAGAGTGACTTTGGACCTGGCCTTACCTAGGGAACAAGGAGCTTGAGGGGAGAGGGGAACTGGGTACTGGACACAGGTGAAAATGGGCTCAAAATGGCACTTTGTTCCCCTGAGGTTAGGGTCTTCTTTCCCCTCCAGAGCTCCAGGAGGAGCTGGCAGAATTCACCTACAAATTCAAGTCATGTTGCCCCCCATCCCCGCACCTTCCCTGATTATCTGGGCATTGGGCTGCCTACACCTGATGTCCTCTCCCTTCTTCACCCTTCCCAGAACATTTCTACTGCCTCCAGCACCTGCCCCAGCTGGACCACAAAGAGGATGGCAGCGACCAAGGCCCTGAGAGTCTGGTAAAAACTACAAGTGTGTTCTGGGGCATTGCCAGGCATAACTGAATGTTGTCCTCCACTAGAATGTGAGCTCCATGAAGGCAGGGATATATTTACTTCCTGCTGTGTCCCACGTTATCTAGAACACTGCCTGACACTGCTCAGTACATGGTGTTAAGTGAATGAATACCATGACCTGCTTGTGCTCTAAAGGGGTAGTCTTAACACCACACTGGACAGGTCACTAACCAGACCACATGGTGACTTTTCCAGGAGCTTCCTACACCAGGTGAAATCAGTATGCCACCAAGCCCCCCAACTCCCAGAGCCTCACAAGAAAGGGCCAGTCCTGTTCCAAACCCCAGCCAGCCCACCCGTCGGCTGATCCGCCTCTCCAGCCCAGAACGCCAGCGGTTGTCCTCTCTTCATCTCACCCCTGACCCAGAACTGGAGCCTCCACCCAAGCCTCCCCGCAGCTGCTCTGCCTTGGCCCGCCAGGCCCTGGAGGGCAGCTTCCTGGGTTGGGGCATGCCAGTCCAGGGACCTCAAGGTAACTGTTCTTTCTTCAGAAGTGGTGATCCAGGTGGGCATGGGGGCAGGAGTGTGGAGATTCTTGCAAAGGGAATTCTTGAGAATAGGGAAGTCGTGGGTATCTAGGGTATCTAGGGCCTGTGTGCTTCTCCCCTGCTCAGTTCTTGTGGCGATGGAGGAGGAAGAAAGCTCCTCCTCCAGTGAAGAAGAAGAAGAAGAAGAAGAAGATGTGCCTTTGGACGCAGACACAGAGCAGGTCAGTGAGTGGAAATGTGACCACCTACTCTGCCCCAGCCAGCACACGTCCACTAAACACTCTCCACCGCCCACAGGAGGAACCCACACCATACTCCATCCTCTGTGCCCTTCTCTTACCCAGCCTTTCTTGTCTCTTAGCCTCTATCTTTTCTACCAGAACCTACCTCACTTCTAGTCCAGGTTCTTCCCTTTCTAGAGCTTCCCCAATTCCTGTCCACCAGGGTGGTCAGGCCCTACTACTAACTGCCTGACCCACCCACAGGTCCTGCTGACCTTGGCCAAGACCTCAGGCACCATGAATAAGTACCCAACATGGCGTAGGACTCTGCTGCGCCGTGCTAAGGAGGAGGAGATGAAGCGGTTTTGTAAGGCCCAGGTAAGGCCTACAGATTCTTGTGGGGTTAGAGTTCTGAGACTGGAGCTCCTCCAGTGCACTGTTCTTGAGTAATCCAGAGATTTTTGGGTCTCCTATCTTGTATTCCTTAGGCCATTCAACGGCGACTAAATGAGATTGAAGCTGCTCTGAGAGAACTGGAGGCCAAGGGTGTGAAGTTGGAGCAGGCCATTAGGAGCCAGAGCAGTGAGTAAAGATGGGAGGGACAAGCTAAGACATGCTCCTGCCACTTAGCAATGTGTTCAGCCCCCCGCCATCCCTCAAAGCAGGCTATGGCCCACAGCAGGCCCAATGGCTGCGCCACACTGCTCTCTGACATATCCATAACATCCTTCTTTCCCCGGATCCTGTCACCCCTAAGCCCATGAATCCTGTGGCCCTGGCTGGAGGCCTCCTGATCATCGCTCACCCATCTTCCTTCTTATCAGGCTCCCCAGAACAGCAAAAGGAACTGTCGGTAGAACAGCTGCTACAGCTTGTTCAGAAAAGAAACAGCTTGGTTGCTGAGGAAGCTGAGCTCATGATCACGTAAGGGGCAGGGAATGGTGACAGTGGTTCATGGGCCAGACCCCAGTCCCTTGTGTACCCTGAACAGGTTCGCCTCTTCAATCCCTGACCTCCACAGGGTGCAGGAGCTGAACCTGGAGGAGAAACAGTGGCAACTGGACCAGGAGCTGCGCAGCTACATGAACCGGGAAGGTAGGTGGGATGTGGGGAGAGGGAGACATATCCCAGGGCTGGCTGGTGTGCAATAAGTCTCATGACTTCAGATACTGATCAAGCAGCATGGGTGGGGCTCCAAAGCCCTACTGTCCCTTCAGTTCAATCAGGGTTACACAACTGGGCTTTTATAAGATTCCTCCAAAAATGGTGCTGCTGCTAAATAATGCCAGTAAAGCACGGATATTGACAAACCCTCTAATTTTACAGGTTAAGAAACAAAGCCTGGGTTGTAGAAGTCACATAGGCCAGGATTAGGTTGTGCCTCTCCTGCCTCCCTGCCCAGTTCCCTGTTCTCTAAGCCTTGTCTCCTCCCTTCAGAAACCCTAAAGACAGCTGCCGATCGGCAGGCTGAGGACCAGGTCCTGAGGAAACTGGTGGACGTGGTGAACCAGAGAGATGCCCTCATCCGCTTCCAGGAAGAGCGCAGGCTCAGCGAGCTGACCTTGGGGTCAGGGGCCCAGGGCTAGAAGAAAGTGGGCTGCCTGCCCTGTTCCCTACAAGGCCACCTCACCCCAACACAGTGCCACCTGCAGTGCCAGCCCTGCTCATCTGGCTGCCTGGGACAGGGCCTCACTATTTACAATTAAAATGTTTCTATCATAGACAAGTCTTAGGCTACCTGCAGGTGGGACGTGGAAGGTGTGCAAGGAAGGCAGAAGATGGGTAGGAGGAGCCTTACAGTCGACAATGACCCTTGGCTCCCATCACTGCCTCTATGTATAAGAAAAAAGCAGAGCCATTAAAGAGTCAAGCTTTATTGATCCTCAGCTCCATCCCCCTCTTGCTGCCCTAGGAGTGGGGCTGGCAGAGGCTCTATGCCCAGATCCTGGGCCTCCCTTGCCTTTCCCAGCACATGTTGGAGCTCAGCCTGGGCTCTATATAAGCTCTTGGCCTCCTGTGTATGGAAGAGGTAGACTGTACCTCCCCCCAGGACCAGTCCTACACTGGGGATCCAGAGCAATATGGCAACTTCCTTGGCCCCTCCTCCAGCTACCAGGATACACACCAATCCCAGAAGCAGCCCCAGACTGATCACATAGCCAGTGAAGGTGGACCACCGGCGAGCTTGAGCCATGCCCATACCCAGCTCTGTCCAGGCCTCCCTTAGTACACTGATCAGCTGTGGTGTCTCTGCTGGTCCTAGAACAAGGCAGTGCAGTGGAGCAGCAGCAGGTCAGAGTGGAAGGCCTGCCTTAAGGTGGAGAAGGGCCAAGGCAAAGGGTGGGAGGAAGTCACTCACCATTGATAGGCCTGGGGTTTTCTGGGGCGGGGCTGTGCCTCACATATAGAGTAGCCATCAGGGCCTCGTGATCAGAGAGGGGGTTGCCTCTGTGAGGATCATGGCCTGTAGTGGTTTCGAGAGTCTTACAGGAGATGTAGAATCCAGAAACTGCCTAGGAAATGTAAGAGCCAGAGAGAAGCTTATACATGAGGGCCTCATCCCAGAAAACCAGCTCCCAGCTATCCTATTCTCCAGCCATCAGTGGTGGCCCAAAACTAACTGAACAAAGGATCAGCACAGGCTCGTGACAGATAAAGAGACACAGTGCATGAAAGTGACACAGTGGGTGAAATCACATTAAGGGGAAGAGGCTGACCTTGTAAAGCATGTAGTCAATACGAATGCCAAAGGAAAAAGGTTCCAGCTCCTTCTGGTTGACATAGCAGTTCTGGGGTATCATTGTATTGCCGTCTTTAGAGCCCTAGAGGAATAGTTGGGTCCTGGTAGGATGCAGGGAAGGTGGAGGAGGAAAATCTGGGGATGCTGGTGAGAATATAATCAGGCAGGTCCTCACCTTAAAGTCCCGAGTATCAAGGTAGGCATCACGTAGCCCAGTCCACTCCTTCAGCAGGCAGCAACCCAGATCTTCCGGGTGCATGTTGAGGTCCCCACATAACAGAACCACATCTGCCTTCTTGGATGTATGGCTGGGGGAGACAGGTTGGTCAAGCAGGAATTCTTCCCTTGCCAGCTCTGCCCTATAAATGGGGCCTTGGACACCCCTTATCCCCTGTACCCCATCCCACTTCCCCTGTCAAGCCCAGGCTCACACACTGGATGAACTGGGCCAGTTCCCAAGCTTGGGCCACACGATGTGCTAGGTAGATGTCCTTCTGTCGATTGTACTCGGCATGGAGCTGACCAGGATACATGAGATTAAAGCAGATAAGACTCAGAGTCCCAGGGGCAGATCTAAATCAATCTGGCATCTGTCACTTGTTGTGATTTTTGGTATAGAATGGGTGCACCTTAGGAGATCCCTACCCCCCCACCCCCATACCTCACCCCCAGGCAATAGAGCTAGGAGTACTATCTGTCCATGCCAACCCTAACCACTGCTGGCTTTACTTACATGGGTCACATAGGTATTGAGCACCAGTCCACATAGATGGAGCACAAGCAGCCCAACAGCCTTCCCACAGAACCAGTCACCATGATGGATCTGCAAGTAGGAGGAGGAAGTAACTTAGGACATCGCCACCCTCTTTCTGCTCATCCCCTGCAGCCCTAGGAGGGGTGCCTCTACCTTGTGGGGAAGGGAGGTAGAAGAGGTCAGAGGTCAGGCTTACCATGTAGGGGTAGCCATTGAGGGAGTAGACATGCTGGTTGAGTTCCTGGATTGGGTGTTTGGAGAAGACACAGAGGCCACTGCCAATGACTCCGCTGAAAGCCAAGCCCTGCTTAATAACCAGAGAAGCAGGAAGAAACCCCTGGTCCTCTTCCCCTCCCCCGTCTTCCACCTCTGATCAGCTACTTTTACTTTCTCTACTGCTGAAACCAACCCCAGAACAAAGGCAGAAACCTTTGTAGGAGGGTGATGGGGCAACAGTGATAATGAGGCTGACATGCCTCAAGAGATAGGATCTTGTGGGTTCACCCTTCCTTCTCCCACACCCGAGGCAGAGTTGGGAGAGAGGGAGGAGGCTGCAGCCAGGATAGGGAAGGGCTAGCAGAGCCGGGAGCCCCAGGTCTGAGAACAGGCTTTGGGCCAGGGAGCTCCTCACCTCCTGAAGTAGTGTGAAGCTGGGTAGGTGGGCACTAGCTTCTGTCTCAGGTACTGGAAGTCCTGCTCACTCCACACCTGAGGGAAGGGGCAAGGATGCCTACCTGGCCTTCCCCCAGCAGGAAAGTCCTCTTATGCTCCTCTAGCTGCCCTCCTCCCCGCGTGGGTTCAGCACCTGTGTCGCACAATCTCACCTCCTCCAGGAGAGCCAGGTCGAAGCTCTGCAAGTTCAGAAAGTCTCCCAGGCGCTTCATGCGGTCGGCCCGGTGCTTGCTCAGGTAGGGAATGCCCCTACGGGAGGGGAGGAGGGGACCAGGGGAAGGTGACTGCAGGTACCATTGGAGCCAGAAGTGGGCTTTGGTGTTCGGGTTCCCCCGTGCACCCGAGATCGTGACCCGACTGTGAGAAAAACTGTATGTGTGCAAAAGTGTGGGAAAGTGGGCCACTGGCCGCGCCCCGCGGACAAACTCACCAGCAGTTGAGGTTGAAGACCCTCAGTCGCAGAGAGAAGTTGGGCTTCATGGCGGGGGTGCTCCAGGGGTGCGGGACGGCTCTGCCTCCCCAGCGACAGCGAGGGAAAGGGTGAGGGAGAGGGCGGGCGGGCGGTACCTCCTCCCGGGGCGGCCCGCACAGGTGTTCGGCCCCGCCCGCGAGCTCCCCGGAAGGCCGCGCCCCTGGGCCCGAGCCGCTCAGACTACGCCTGACCCCGCGTTACCCCAGCAACCGGCCCTGCCCGCCAATCCGGAAAGGCGATCCACTGAGAAATCCGGGCACCGACGGGTCGGCCGAGGGCGCGCGCAGGAACCTTCAGGGTCCCGAGAGAGCGCCCAGGCGAGTGGCTTCCCCCTACTTGTCCCAGGAGCTGGTCTCCGGCCGCGGCCGCCTTCGCACCCCTCGCCGGCCCCTCGCCGGCTTCACCAGCAACAGGCGGAAAGTTGAGCAAAGGCCCAGTCGACGCCGGCCGGCGCCCCTCCCACTGCGAGCGGCGGGGGCGGAGCCGCGCGGTTGCCGAGGGGACGCGCGGTGTTTGTGCTCCCGGCGAGCATCAGGGCGGCCATGGCTAGCCTGCCGCCGTGCCCGCCCAGGCCTGCCCAGTGCGTGTCGCAGCCGCCGCCCGAGAATCCGCTGCAGGTGAAGGTGGTGGGACTCTTCAAAAGCTCCAGCCTGCAGATTGCAAAGAGCATAGCTGAGGTAACGGCAGAGAAACCACCAAGGCAGGCGACTCTCCTCGCTCCAGTCTCGGCCGCCGTGGACTGCTGTGGGCGGGGGTTCTACCTCCCCGGGTGGGGGGCTGGCGTGTCGTGGGTGCGGGCAGGGTCTAGATGATCCGGAGAGTGGAGGATCCGGGACGATGTGCGACTTCGAGAAGGGCGACCTTTAAAGGGAGGTCTAAATGAAAGAAGAACTTGTATGGGAGTCAAAAGCTCCCACCTGTGTACACACACACACACACACACACGCACATCCCACACAATTTGTTCCACGTCAACTTTTTGTTGTTGTTGTTGTTGTTAGAGACAAGGTCTCCCTCTGTTTTCCAGGCTGGTCTTGAACTCCTGGCTCAAGCTGCCCGTCCTCCCAGGCCTCCCAACTGCCAGGATTACAGGCATAAGCCGCTACACTTGGCCTTCAATTTTTTTTTTCTAGAGACAGAGTTTTACTTTATCGTCCTCGGTAGAGAGCGGTAGCATCACAGCGCACAGCAACCACCAACTCCGGGGCTTAGGCTATCGATTCTCTTGCCTCAGCCTCCCGAGTGGCTGGGACTACCGGCGCTCGCCACAACCCCCGGCTACTTTTTGTTGCAATTTGGCCGGGGCCAGGTTCAAACCCGCCACCCTCCATATAGGGGGTCGGCTCCCTATCCACTGAGCCACAGGCGTCATCCCTGGCCTTAAATTTGTAATTGAATTACAGATTTTAAATTTATGGAAAAAATGATTATGGAAAAGTGTTGCTGTATAACTAGCTAATTTTTACAAACTTCCTCCCCAAGCGATTTTACAATGGTGTTCCTTCAGAAAGGTTGTTTTCTTTAAATTTTATATAGCAGTCTTAGAGGCTTTCCGGATTTCTTCATAAGTGGCCCACAAGTGCTCTGGAGAATCATTTCTTTGTAAACAGTCAGAACGATATAAAAACACTTGAAGAAGCTGGAGGAATTTAGCCAGATCAGTCATACTGCAGCACGCTTAACAACCTGAATGCAGGAGAAATACAAAAATCTATGAAATGTTGGAATGTCTTTGAGGTTTTCTCCAAAAATGCTGTCTATGCTAAGGCTCTCTCCAAAACCTCACTAGACCCCAGCCAATACCTTTTTAATGTTTGTATCTCCCAAAGTACCCAGCTGGGTACTTGACAACAAAATGTTCCCAAATAGAAGACTTAAGAAATCCCTGCCTCCTTGCCTACTCCAGAGCCTGCTGAGTTAAACAAAAGTTTTTAATTATGTCAAATCAGGAAAATAACTAATTTGCAAAATAGGTAAAGTTTACATCAAGATGAAGAAAACAAGTGAACAGAAGTCTGTGAAGATAATGCATGAATCATCAAAAGAACTAGAAATTATAGACTGTGTTGCATGGGCAGATGGGATCAGTAACATTTTATGGCTGAAGTTGATGGCCATAAACTTAATTACAACGTTAATGTATTTAATGAGTTTCAGGGAGTATTTGTCTTGTTTTTCTTAGCTTCATTTTCTGAAGGCACATGTTTTCTGTGCTTACTGCACACTGTAGAGAAAGTGTTGGCAATTTTTTTCTGTAAATTCCAAATAGTAAATGTATTAGGTCCTCTGAGCCGTGTGTCTTCTGAGCCATATGATCTCTCAGTCACAACTATTCAACTTTGTGCTTGGGTTGGACAAGAAGACACAGACACAGACATGTAAATGATGGCAGTGTTCTAATATAACTTTATTAAGGACATTGAATTTGACTTGCATATAATTTTCACAAGACATGAAATATGATTCTTCTTTCGATTTTTTTCAACCTTTTACAAATCTAAAAATTATTTCTTTTAGGCTTTAAAAAACAGACAGTAGGCTATATTTGGCCCTCTGGTCACAATTCAACCCCTGATAAACTTTAATAAATAAACAATATCTTTATTATATTAATAATTTTTCCCCTTTTTTTGTTTGAACCCACCACCTCCACTATATGGGGCCAGTGCCCCCCTATTCCTTTAGCTACAGGTGCCGCCATATTTTTTTCTTTCTTAAGCTTTTGCCGATTTTAACTCAAATACAAAAATTTAATTAGTTCTGTCTTAATAAAAGATATTTGAATATATTCCCAAGATGATAATTTGTGAGCAACCTCAGATGCCTGATTACCTGACCAAGATTTAGGTGTGTGTTAAGTGCTCCCAACACGAATGACAAATGCTTGAGATGATGGATATGCTATTAATAATTACCCTGATCTAAACACTATGCATTGTATGTGCTATGTATTGAGACATCACTGTGAACCCTATAAATGTGTATAATTATTCTGTCAATTAACAAATAGAGTTTTAAAAATTAAAAAATAAAAAGTGAAAAAAACAAAAAATGACTTAGATTATAAAGAGTAAGAATAAGTATTATATGTGATTTAATTTGGACATAGTTCATTCTAGAACAAATACTCAAATATGGAAAAAGCATGACATGTTTAATTTGAAAACTATTGGGCTTACTGGTTCTTATAGATGGTTCCTCAGAAATAGCAGTCAACCTGCAGGATTGCCTCAGACTGCACATAGACACCGGAACTGAGAAACAGGACATGTCATCTGTGGGTTGTGAACAGTAGCCTAAGAAGGAAATGGCCTGATTCCTGTTGCTCTCTTCTTGTTTCCAAAGTAGGGTGCACTGAGTCCTGGCTTTCTCTTCCCTTGCCATGCTCACCCCTGATGAAGTGTGCGTGGCTACTACCTTCTTTTAAAGAGAATAAAAGCACTGTCCCTACCAGAGATGGTGCCCGTAGCAGCTGCTGTCCCATTTCCCTATTGGCCCATCTACTTCTCAAACACACTCAGAAAAGCAAGGTCTAATTACTATTACCTCAACTGCCTTCTCTTATTTAGAGGGAGGCAAAGTTCAGCTAATATCTCAAGGACCAAAACATTTTTTTTTTTGACAAGGGTTGCTAACCAGTAAGAATTCATTCTGATTCCTACAGACAAAACAAAATATATCAAACTAAAACATACTCAATACCTAAACCTAAACTTATTTAGTATTTATTTCTCTTTTTCCTAAGGGGCATAACCACAACAATATCCATATATCAGTGAATTAATGCAATAACATTTACTTTAGCTACAAGTAAAGTATTTGTCGATCCACTGAGGTTTAGCAAGAGTATAGCTTAGTCCTAAAAGAACATAGCTGAACACCAAAACGACTGGCATAAAATCATTCATTTGTTTATTCAGTTGCTACGTGTGGATGGTCTACTCTGTGGCAGATATGGTGACGGATGGGACTAAGACAGTTCTTAGCCTTAATGAGCTTATACTCTAGAATTGAGAGACAGAAAAGCCAGAGCCCCAGTGTGGATTGGGGAGTGAATTAGAGGTGAGTGCAGGTGCCTCTGGGCATGTGTGTAGTATTAAACTTCTGAAGTCCCCCCAAAAATTGGGAGAAATGATTTCAACTTTAAAAGAACACTTACCCTGATTTAATTATTCCATTTTGAAACCTAGAGTCTGAAGATTACTCATCCATCCAAATTTGAAGATCCTATTATAGTTCCTCTTCAAGAATTTGCATGGGATCAATATCTACTGGAGAAAAAAAGGGTAAAGGATACTTGGGGAATGGGAGATATTGTCAATAAGCAAAATCATGCCTAAATTACCTTATCTATGCACTACTTTGGAAAAACAAAGAGAGCGACTTTACTGCAACCAGCTTTCATTTCTCTAAATTGTATACTTTTCCTAAATTATGTGAATAATTTGCCAAGCTGGGTTTTTGAAAAAGTAAAGCAGTTACAAGATTATCCTTTGAAAAGCAGATGATAAAGGTAAGTTTTAAAGTCTCAGTGGTCCTATTTACCCCTGCAGATGGTTATCCCATCTCCCTTGCTGTCTCTTATACTTCCTATGACACCTGGACCCTCTTCTTGGTCCTTACATTGGAAAGTGGGGGTGGTTGTACATCACAGAGATAGCAGGGGGGCTGTGTGAGCTGTTGCCTAGGGGCGCTCTTGTAACAGGCACCAAGTTGCACAGAGCAAACTTGTCTTGAGTGAAGCTTCCTTCTCTGCCTTCTCTCCTCTAACAGTACTCTGAGAGAAGATTGTGCCTTAGGGCTAGCAGAACTCATGGGGACCATAATAGACAGGTTTCCTCTTGGGAGCTGACTCTGCCTGGGCAAGTGATAAGGATGCTAGCTCAGCATCTTGGCTTAGTAGTACCTGGTGTTGGGGAGGGTTGAATGGGGTGTGCTTCCTGCTCATCATCTCTGGCCCAGTCCTATAGGGAGTCCAGTCCTGGTTTCCCCACCCACCCCATCTCCCTAGTGGCTGATGAAATCTCCTTTCCCCTGACTAGAGCAGTTTCAATTGCCTGTGCTTGATTGCACGAGGACATCCTGTGACCTTGTGATTAAATATCATATAGATAATGTTACTTTATGAGGCTACTTAATTCGCTGCTCAGACAAGGGTGTAAGACGGAGTCAAAAATACTATTTGCTAAGGCTCATACTTTCATAGCCACAAAATGTTGTCATTGCAATTTAAATAGAACCATAGCGGCTCGGCGCCT